GCCTGCCTCTGCTTCCCAAGTGTTGGGATTAAAGGTGTGTACCACCATGACTGGCATTGTTGGTTTAATTTTGTGTATATTGTCTGCATGTATGTAAGTGTACCCATGTCCTGCAATACCTGTGGAGGTCAGAGATGGTGTTGAATGCCCTGGAACTGGAGTTAGGGGCAGTTGTTAGCTGCTATGTGGGTGTTGGGAATTGAATCCTGATCTCTGCAAGAGCAGCCAATGCTCTTAACCTCTGAGCCATCTCTCCAGCCCCCCAAATTTTAAACTGATATATTTATGTGTGTGGGAGAACTGCCCAGAACAAAGAAGTAAATGCAGCATGGCATGTGCCTGAACACAGGAATAGTTTTGCCTGTACAACCAGTAGCACAGAACACCCAATCAGGGTATGTGTATGACCACCATGAGAGACAAAGTAAACTGTGCATGGTGTACACAAGGCCAGGTTTTTGCTGGGTGGCATACACCTTTAATCCCAGCACTTGGGAGGCAGGAGCAGATGGATCTCATGGCCATCTTGGTCACAAAGCAAGTTCCAGGCCAGCTGGAACTATAGGGAGACTTTGTCTCAAAAAAACCTGTGAAGGTGCTGGGAGTGATGGCGCATGCCTTTAATCCCAGCACTCAGGAGGCAGAGGCAGGAGGATATCTGTGAGTTTGAGGCCAGCTGTGGCTACAGGGAGACCTTGTCTCAGAAAGACCAAAAAAAGACAAAAACAAAAACCCAGAAAACCTGTGACAGCAAGGATGACTTTGAACCTCTGATTATCCTGACTCTGCCTCCTGAGAGCTGGGCTTACAGGTATGTACCACCATGCCCTGTGGTTTCTGCAGTGTTGGGGATCAAAGCCAGTGCATGCTAGGTGAGCACTCTACCAACTCAGCGACATCCCTATTCTCCAAAATAATGTATTTTGAAACATAGTTCCACCCCTGGGCAAACCCTAGACTCTGGAAGGCTTACCTGGTTTACAAGACGTGGCTTGGCTCCTGCCTCATTTTTGGCCAAGATCCCAGATCCCAACTTCCTCCTCTGATGGTCCAGCTAGTTTGTACCTTATATTCTCCTCACTAGAATGCTCCCCTCAAACCCATGTGGTTTATCGCCTTGGGATTTAAATCGTAGCAAGACCACTCTGGTGTCTTCCCCATATGCCACCTGGTTCTGTGGATCAAACCCAAGTGCTGTATCACTGAGGTACTGTTATAGGACGGAGTTCCCAAAAAATCACCAACACCACTTTAACAAAAGTAGCAAGGTAAATTTTAATTTCGACTGGCTGGGCTGTCTATCTCAGGAGGTAGCAAGGTAAATTTTAATTTTCGACTGGCTGGGCTGTCTATCTCAGGAGTAGAAGCAGCCCTGATGATTGTCGGGTCAGAGTTTTTATAGGATTACAGAAATACTCAAACAGGACACGTGAACCAATCAGGTTTATACAACATAGCAGAACTTTGACTCTATTAATCAACAACCAATCATTATACAGACAAGTGATACAGTCATATAACTTGGCAATCAACTTTGTAATTTTAAAATTAGTCAACTTCCTAGCCATAACAAGTATAGTAAGACAGCTAAAATCAGCAGTTCCCAGGTTCGAATCCCAGCACCCACATGGCAGCTAACAACTGTCCATAGCTCTAGTTCCAGGGGATCTGATGGCCTCTTCTGTCCTCTGCGGGGATCACATGACACAGACACAGGTGCATGTACATGCAACCAGGCAATGCACCAATACACATAAAATAAAAACAATAAATAACGAACCCTCGCTGCTGCCACGTCTTCCGGAGCCAGCGTGAGCGCCCTGCAGTGCCTGGTGGAGCAGCTCAAGCTGGAGGCGGGCGTGGAGAGGATCACGGTATCTCAGGCAGCTGCAGAGCTGCAGCAGTACTGCATGCAGAATGCCTGCAAGGATGCCCTGCTGGTTGGTGTTCCAGCTGGAAGCAACCCCTTCCGAGAGCCCAGATCCTGTGCTTTACTCTGAAGTCTGTAGGGAAGACGTTCACTGAGGAAGACCTTCAAGCACAAACTGATGAATGACTGACTCCAGTCAAGTCCCAAGAAAGCAGTTTTCTCCAGCCAAATGACTTCCAGATATTTAAGGCCATCTCTGTGGCCTGCTCCAATAGCCAAATTCCACAGAAATTAGTGATCTTTTTTTTATTCAAATACAAAAACCTAATGAAGGAGTAAAGTTTTCAATAGTAAATGGCCTAGTTCTTTTGCTGAAGTATTTTATATAAATAGAAACCATGCCACCAAATGTACTAAGATGCATCTCTTCCGTAGGTGAGGGACTAGTGTTGCTGTGCCTGGAGTGACAGGTATGTTTTATTTACTGGATGTTTACATTTTAGGAAGAAAACATTTGTATTACAAAAATTGAGTATTTGTAATTTGCTGTTGCTAACATTTTTATATTATAATAAAATTTGTTCTTAAGAATTTACAGTTACTAAGACAAGAAAGTATAAAATTAAGAACAGGCTAATACCCTGATTTTCTAAGCAAGAAGTTGCTCATTTCTAAACGAGAATATTGTTTTATTTTTAACACTAAACTTGGGAGCAGCACTCAGGGAAACCTGTTTGAAGGGATTGATGCTGTCTTGCGTGTTAGGTTGCCCCATCTTATATATAAAGCAGATTGGATCTTTTTTTTTCTAGTTCCTTCTCTTTTGTAATTGTACTTACACTTTCAAAAATATGCTACATTATTTGTTTTTTAAAAATGTTTAAAATGTGACCCACATATAGAACATTGAAAATGGTTAAAAGACAATGTGAAAATACTACAACCTAAAAAGAAGTCAAGTCACAAGTGTTTTCCCTGAGTGATGTGCATTTGGTTTAATTTGGGACACTTTTAGATGGAAACCTAATTTGTGTTTGTAATAACTTTGAAAAGCTTGGAAATAAAACTTTTGCTTCATTATTTTCTATGAAAAAAATAAATAAATAAAATATTTTTTAAAATTAGTCAACTTCCTAGCCACAACAAGTATAGTAAGGAAGCAGTTACCAGGTGGTCACACAATAACAGGGTGGTCTTATACTTTGTCAAGGTGACCTAAAACAGCAAGCAAGTTACAGAAGTGAAAACAAGCAGTTAGCCAGATGTAAAATGTCTGGAATTAGCACATTCCATGGTTCCTGGTGAGGACAATTTCCCAAGACCCAAGGTTGCCCCCCTTTTCCTTTTGGTGTGGAGCAAAGTTGCTGCTGAAATGGCTCTGAACAAAATGGAGTGACTTAGGTGAGTTTGCTGAGAAGTTCAGTACATGCCCAGATGACATTTTCTTTTTGTCTTTTTATTTTGCTTGTGCATGTTGCAGTCATCCATGTGTTCCCATGTGTAGATGCATGTGTGTGCATGTATGTGGTGGCCCACAGGTGTCTTCTTCAATTGCTCTCCATTGTGTATATTGAGGCAGGGTCTTTTTTTATTTATTATTTTATATTTTTATATGTATGCATGTATTGCCTGCATGTAGGTAAGTGCACCCATGTTGTGCAATGCCCGAAGAAGACAGAAGAGGCTGTTGGATCCCCTGGAACAGGAGTTACAGCCAATTGTTAGCTGCCATGTGGGTGCTGGGATTCGAACCTGAGTATTCTACAAGGACATTCAGTGTTCTTAACCACTGAACCATCTCTCCAGCCCAAGGCAGGGTCTCTTTTTAAAAATATTTTTTAATTTTAATTTTATGTGTACGAGTGTATTGCCTGCATGTATTTAAGTACACCCATGTCCTGCAATGCTCACAGGAGGGTGTTGGATAACCCAGGAACTGGAATTAGGGACTGTTGTCAACTGTCATGTGGGTGCTGGGAATCAAACCTGGGTCCTCAGCATGAGCAGCCAGTGATCTTAACCACTGTGCCACCTCTCCAGCCCCAAGGCAGGGTCTCTTATTTGAACTCAGAGCTTGGCAATTTGGCTGATCTGGCTGGCCAGTTTGCCCAGGGCAATCGTGTTTCCACCTCCCCAGCACTGGGATTACAGGCAGGCCACCGTTACCACCCAGCAGTTAAGTGGGTCTTTTACGTGGATGAGATCTTAACTCTGGTCTCACCCTTCAGCAAACACTTTACCCACTGAGCCATCTCCTCAGCCCAGACGTTTCCTTCTTTAAAGGTCTGTAATACAGACTATAACTTCAGAGCATTTATTCCAGTTTGGGATTACACATTAGGGTGATAGCACTTTTTTAAAAAGTATTTTACTTATTAGGTTTTTATTTTATGTGTGCATGTAAGTATTGCCTGCATGTAGGTAAGTGCTCCCGTGTCGTGCAATGCCCGCGGAGGACAGAACAGGCCATCGGATCCCCTAGAACTGGAGTTATGGACAGTTAGCTGCCATGTGGATGCTGGGATTCAAACCCTGGTCTTCTGAAAGAACAACCAGTGATTTTAACCGCTGAGCCATCTCTCCAGCCCTGGGTGATTAGTTTTGAATACAGTATGTCTGCAAGCCTGCGTGCCCTAGAGCAGGAACTTATGCTTACACCCTTTATTACTGACTGCATCCATAGCACCAAATAAGGAGCATGGTGCATTAAATGCAACCAAAGGCTGAGCGGTCAGTATCGGAAACAGGAGTCAAGGCAGCTCAAGGGTCTGAAAAAAGAATGTGAGGTCACATCACTCAAAGGGCGAATGGACTCTCGGAGGCGAGGTGTTACTGAAGACAGACCAGTAATGCAAAATCAACAGCACTCAGCTCTCATCCAGTTGACAGACGCTGAGGGGTCGCTTCCGTTTCCTCGAGGTCGTCAACCCGTCGTCGACCCCGCCCCTCAAATCGCATCCCGCTCGGACTCTCGGAGCAGAATCCACGAACAGCTCAGAAGAAGCCACCGGCTCTCCAGCCCGACGCGCCCGGGACCAATAGCCGAGCAGTACGGAACCCTAAGCACCGCCTCTTCCGCTCGCGTCCGGAAATGGCCGGGAACACCGGAAGTGGAGGGGCGTTTCCTGCTCCCTCGGCTTCCTCAACATGGCGGCGCCCTTGAGTGTGGAGGTGGAGTTCGGGTGAGTGCGAGCGGGTGTCCTGGGGATGGAGCGAAGTCGTCGGGCTCGCAGCTCCCGGCCTGGCCCGATCCGGCCGCCGGCGACCAGCGCGAGGCGCGTCACCCGCAGGGACTCGGAGGCCTTGGCCGGCTGCGCGGCCCGGACGTAAGTCCGAGTGTAGAAGCGCACACACATGCCGGGAGGTGCGGGTCTGGGGTGCGGCCTGCAGCGTGTGGCTCACGGAGGCGTTGACAGCCGGCCGGCTGCCTTCCCGCCGACTTTGCCAGGCTGGTGTCGGGCGAGCCCCATCTGGCCTTGACATTTATGCTTCGAGGATGCACACACTTCCGGCTTAGAGCCTTCTTGGGGCCTTGCTTTCTCGGGGAATGTGTGACCAAGACAGGACTCCTTTTTTTTCTGTGTCCCAGACTTGGGCGTTTGAAACAGACACAAATCTCTTTTGAGGCCAGACTTGGGCGTTTGAAACAGACACAAATCTCTTTTGAGGTAGTAAGATTTAGGGAGTGCTTTCTGCAACCCTGGAGTCTGCAGGAGATAAAGGGACTAAATCAGATGCCATCGTGGGGGAGCCTACCATTGGCTGGAATAGTATGCACAAGATCAAAAGTTCCAGAATGGGGGCACGCACCAATAATTGAAGAAACACAGGACAGGTTGGAAATCTCAAATCCCTATTTTGTCCTCCAACAAGCAAGGTTTGTTACAAAAACTGCAAAAGAGGAACCTTAGAGCTGAGAGAGAAGGCAGAGAAACAAGGCCTTCAGAGATGTGTAGTTATTTCCAGAATCCCATGGAAAAACTGTGTGTTATAAATAAGCCAAGATCTACACAAAAAGTCTGGGATAGAAATCTAAAACCTTGTGTCCAAAGGCCTTTCCTCCCATTGGGTGCTCCCCCACCCGTCCTCACCCCTGGTGCTTTTATGTCTTCCCGTCATTCACCAGACATTTATTGAGTGCCTACCATGTGCCAGGCAGGGAGCCAGACACCAAGGATACAAAGATAAATAGCACTCTGTCCATTTCCTACAGTGTTCAGCATTTCTGTCCCTTTGAAGTGGGTAGTCTCATGAATGTTAAGTGCAGTTTAATTGATGATATTGTCTGGCTTCATGAGCCAGTTAGAACTACATTTGTTTGGCCTCCTGACTGTTTTACCTATCTGACCCCTAACCCCAGCTAACACCCCACCCGCCCACAGCAACCCCTACCCCCAGCCTGGGGATAATAGAATCCTTGTTATCTTGAGGGCCTTCAGCAGAGCTGAATAGGAAAGAAGCTACAGGCTGACGGTGTTAACATTGATCCACAGCCAACTTGCCTTTCAGATTCTCACTGAGTCAGACATGGTCTTTATTCAGCAGAGATATATTCCATCTGCCAGATACTGTGCTGGCAACTGTGGGGAAGTCCTGAAGTAAGTAAGACTTTTGGCCTCCAGAGTTTCCAGACCAACACAATTGCCTCTTTTCTCCCTTCAGCCTTCCTTATTCCTAAGAGCAATAGTGAGCCCTAGAAGGCAGGACAGCATGCTCTTCCCACATACCCACCTCCTTCCACACCTAACCATGTCACAGTGTCCCATGAGAATTGCAGCTTCACAGGGCTTGGTGGCTCATGCTGTCTTCCAGCACTTGGAAGGCAAAGGCAGGAGGATTGCTGCCAGTTTGAAGCCAGTCTGGATTGCTGTGTGAGCCCCTGTCTCATGCTCCCTACTCTCCCAAGTTAGGTAGTTTCATGGGAAGTAAGATGCTTGTGAAACCCAGAAGCCTCCCCTCTGTCCTCAAATTTTTTTATTTGTTTTGTTTTGAGACAGGATCTCCTGAGGTAACCCAGGCTAGCCTCAAATTCCCTATGTAACTGAGATTGGCTTTGAGCTGCTGATCCTTCTGTCTCTTCCCAAATCCTGCGGCCACCCTGCCTGTCACCTTGTATGCTTTTTACCTGTGGCCTTTCTTTCCTATGTTGTTAATAGATCTGCTTTACCTTTTACTGTCAACCTGAGATTTTCAAAGAATGTGTAATGCCCATTATTTCCTCCCTACTGGTCCTGAAAGTCTAGAGACTTTCTAAACCCTGAACACAGGTAATCCCCTTGATGCCACCAGCTCTACTACAAAGCCTTTCACATTTTTCCCGTCAGGACTAATTCTACCATTTTTTGGCATGCTGAAAACTTAGAGTTTTGTTTTGCTTTTTGAGACAGGGTATGCAAAGATGACCTGTATCCCAACTTGATGCATAGCTGAGAATGACTTTGAACTTCTAATGTTCTTGCCTCCATTTCCCAAGTGCTGGGATTACCAGCATGTACCATCATGCCCAGTTTACTTGGTGCTAGGGATTAACCCAAGGCTTCGTGCATGCAAGGCAAGCGCTGAGTGAGCTGACCTATATCCCCAGCAGAGCATTTTTTTTCAGGACACATGGGATTTGGAGTTTGTAGTAAAGATGTGGTTTTGGTTTTCCTTGTCCAGACTGCAAAGGCCTAGATGTGACAGTCTCTTTGTCCTGTCCCTTTTCCTCTTCCCTGAGTTGGGGAGGTATTGGCACACCATTGAGGTGAGTTAGTTGTTTTCACCCATTTGGCAAATATTTATTACATACCTACTGTGTGCTGGGCCCTAGCTCATTTAGAATGTCTGGAAGGGAGAGGGAGACTGAACAAGGATGGGTGGGCTGGTTCTTCTTTGGTTGGTTGAGTTGTTGAGACAGTGTCTCATGTACTCCAGGCTGGCTTGAACTCAGTTTTCAGCTGAGGAAAAACTTGAATTTCTGATCCTCCTGCCTCCACCTCCTAAATACTAAGATTATAGGCATGCACCACTGCACCAGGTTTTATGTGGTGCTGGGGATTAAACTCAGGGCCTTGTGCATGCTACCTAAGTCCCTACCCACTGAGCTATGTTTGCAGTCCATTTATTTATTTATTTATTTATTTATTGGTCTTTTTGAGACAGGGTCTCCCTATAGCCCCAGCTGTCCTGGAACTCACTATGTAGACCAGGCTGTCCTTGAACTCACAGAGATCCGCCTGCCTCTGCCTCCCGAGTGCTGGGATCAAAGGCGTGCGTCACCACGCCCAGCTACCAGTCCCCTTTTTTTTCTGTTCTTTGAAACAAAGTCTCATGTAGCCTAGTCTGGCCTGTAGTTTAACATGTAGCTGAAGCTGACCTTGAACTCCTGATCCTCCTGCTTCCACCTCCAAAGTGCTAAGATTACATGCATGTGATACCATGTCTAGCTTTTAGATAATTTTTTTAAATCAAATAAACTAGGAAAAGTTAAGATAGTTTTGGGAATGTCCGTACCTGTCATTGGCTTCAGCACATAACACCCATCGGGAATTAGAAGGTAGAGGGAAGATAGAGGTATCTTGGTTGCGTTTGAGTAGCAAATCCCTTAATATATAAGAAGATCTGGCCTTAGGTCTCTGGGGCCAAAACAGTCCCCTTGTCTGGCTCCTTAAATCTCTCCAGAAGCTAGGCATGTGCCTTCCTTCATTCCAGATGTGCTAATGGAAGTGCGGGCCCCTCCCTTAGAACCCAGCAAACCCAGCAGTGATGGGTCACTGTGAGAACTGGACTAGTTAGCCTTTCATCTGTAAGAGGAAAAACAGGCTTGGCCTCTGAGCCTGGTACTACCAGGCTTGGCCACTCTTGGTTATTTGTCTCTAGTTCCCACCCCAGTTCTCTGACCCAAAAGTCTGGGGCCCCTTGCCTATCGCCCTCCCCCAACCCAGCTGCTACATGTGCCAACCCCACCCAGAAGAAAATGAGGCTCTTGGAAAGGGATAAATGGAGGCTCTGTGTGGGCTTGCAGCTGAAATGGCCCTGCGCGCAGCCACAGATGGGCCTCTGCTCCCCCTCCACGTTTCTACATCAACAAAGCGTGACCTTGTTTAGATGACAGTCGCCCCATGTTTCCCCCATGACAGTGTTTGCCTTGCCTTTGCCTCCCAGTAGACGCTCAGGACATCTCTGTTTCCTGAGATTGGAGAGGGGTGGTGGGGCTGTAGGCATCACATCCATCAGGTCTGTTAAGGCCTTCTTAGTTCAGACCATGTGAAGTCTGAGTTGGGTGTCAGGAGACCCAGGAGGAGTGGTGTGGGGCCCTGAAAGCCCTGCTGTCCACACCAGGAGCCCTGGCTGCTGCACGTGTTCTTGCCATCTCTGCCATCTTGGCCTTCCCCTGGCCAGGTGCTAGGACATGGAAATGAACCAAACTCTGTCCTAGGGGGCTTTCTGAAAAGAGCTTTGGGGGTCATGCACCCTCTCTAGGCTTCAGTCTACTTCTCTGTCAACTGGCCTTAATAATGTCTGTCTTCCTTCCTCCTTTACTGGCATGGCCTGAGGATGCAATGGATGAGGAGCATCCTGTAACTGGCCAGGTGTTATAAACAGTTGTTCTCCATCAGTGCTAAGCACAGTGGGTTCTCTGTGCCTCTGTTGCTGTAGTGTATCCATAGTAGTCCCATAACAGTGAGCAGGAACTAAGTACTTCCACTCTCACCTGGCCAAAGGAGACTTCGAGATGCATAGGGTTTCCAGAGTTTCAGAAGGGGTCCTCAGTATTTTTGAAAATGGACAGACCAAGGCTTGGAAAAGTCACATGGCCAGGGGCTGTCTGGGAGGAGAACGCAGTTTCCTTCTTGGGGCTGGCAGCTCCAAAGCCTGTGTTCCACCTCTGTGTGCTAAGCTACCTTTCAAGAAAGTACAGGAGGGGCTGGAGAGACAGCTCAGCAGTTAAGAGCACTGGCTGCTCTTACAGAAGACCTGGGTTTGAGTCCCAGCACCCACATAGCGGCTATAAACCCTCTGTAACTCCAGTTCCAGGGGATCCAACACCCTCTTCTGAACTCTGCAGACATTGCATGACACAGGTGCACCTACCTACATGTAGGTAATACACTCACACACATAAAATAAAAATGAAGAAAGCGGAAGAAGCTTTATTATTTTTATTTTATGTGTATGCATGTATTGCCTGCATGTAGGTAAGTGCACCTGTGTCATACGATGCCCGCAGAGGTCAGAAAAGGCTGTCGGATCCCCTGGGACTCGAGTTAGCGGCCATGTGGGTGCTAGGATTTGAACCCGGGTCCTCTGCAAGAACAACCAGTGTTCTTAACTGCTGAGCCAACTCTCCAGCCCTATTTTATTTATTTATTTATTTATTTATTTATTTATTTATTTATTTATTTATTTATTTATTTTTGTCTCTTTGAGACAGGGTCTCCTTGTAGAGCTGTCCTGGAACTCACTATGTAGACCAGGCTGGCCTTGAACTCACAGAGATCCGCCTGCCTCTGTCTCCCAAGTGCTGGGACTACAGGTGTGTGCCACCATGCCCGGCTTATTATTTTTATTTTATGTGTATGAGTATATTGTCTGCATGTGTGTAAGTGTACCCATGTCATGCGGTGCTCACAGAGCTCAGAAGAGGGTGTCTGATCCCCTGGAACTGGAGCTATGGATGTTTGTTAGGGTGGTACATGCCTTTAGTCCCAGCACTTGGGAAGTAGAGGCAGGTGGATCTCTGAAATCTAGGATAGCTTGGTCACCAGGGGGGTGCTTGATTAATAATAGAAATTATTTACATCTTCTTTACCCTTCCAGAAGTTGTCTGAGAGTCATCATTGGTACTCAGGATGTTCCTGAATTTGTTCTCTGCATCTCCTTAGCAATTACTACCAGCCCTGACCTTAGTACTCAGACTCAGCCCCCTCCTGTTCCTGTTAGCTGGAACTTACCTGGCTGTCTTTCTCTGGCTTTCCTTTGCAGAGGCGGCGCTGAGCTTCTATTTGATGGAATCAAAAAACATCAAGTCACCTTGCCTGAACAGGAAGGGCCCTGTGAGTATTGGCTTCTCCTGGCTCCTCTCTGGGGGCCACTGGGCATGCGTGGGCTTGTGGTTCACGTGGGAATAATAGAATTGCCCTGACTAGTGGCAAAGGAAGAACAGACTAGAGACTGTTCTCATCTGTCCTCTCTGGGTTGAGCCAGCTCTGTAGGAGGGAGGTAAGCTAGCTTTGTCCTCATATGAGGGTCTTATACTCAGACCACTTAGAGCCCTGGACCAGTGACCTCACCTTTCTGAGCTTTGTTTTTCTCATCTGTGAAGTGGGGGTAGTAATCCCTGTCTTTTCAGGGATGTTAAAAGGAGGAAGCAGCCATTCCCTGGTGGTATAGGCATGTAATCCCAGCTACTTTGGAGACTGAGGCAGGAGGGTCAAAGCCAGCCTGGGTGTTTAATGAGACCCTGTCTCCGAAGGTGAAAGGGAGCCTGGGATGTAGCTCAGTGATAGAGCTCCTGCCTAACATGCAAGAAACCCTAGGTTTAGTTCCGAGCACTTTAGAAAGTGCAGGAAAAGGCCGGGCATGGAGGCAGAGGCAGGTGGATCTCTGCGTTTAAGGCCAGCTTGGTCTACATAGTGAGTTCCAGGACAGCTGGGGCTACAGGGAGACCCTGTCTCAAAAAGACAAAAGTGCAGGAAATAAATAAATAGAAAGAGGAAGAGGCAAGCGAACCGTGTATCTCAATAGTCACCACATGGCCGCAGGGAGATTCTTAGGGAAATAATAACATTCGCAGAACATGGAACGTGCACCTGAGCTGCTATCATGGTAGAAGATTAAAATAGAGGAGCTTGGGAATGGACAGGTGGCTCAGCGGTTAAAAGCACTGACTGCTCCTGCAGAGACCTGGGTTTGATTCCCAGCACCCACATGGTGGCTACGAACCGTCCTTAACTCCGGTTCCAGGGGAATCCAACACACCCAGCAACAAATATAATTTTAAAAATTGAAAAAGAATTACATGAGACCCTGTCTCCAAAAAAAAAAAAAGCTGGGCGTGGTGGCACACACCTTTAATCCAGCACTTGAGAGGCAGAAGCAGGTGGATCTCTGTGAGTTCAAGACCAGCCTGGTTACATAGTGAGTTTCAGGACAGCTGGGGCTACAGGGAGATACTGTCTCAAAAAGACCAAAAAAAATAATAATAGGGGCCGGAGAGATGGCTCAGCGGCTAAGAACACTGACTGTTCTTGTAGAAGACCTGGGTTTGAATCCCAGCACCCACACAGCAGCTAACAACTGCAACTCCAGTCCCAGGGGATGTGACAGCTTCTTCTGTCTTCTTGGGCATTGCACGACACAGGTGCACTTATCTACATGCAGGCAATATACACATATACATAAAATAAAAATAATAAAATATTAAAAAAATAAAATAAAAAATGAGTTTGAGGGAACTGGAAAGTTGGCTCGGTGGTTAAGAACAGTAGCTGCTCTTCCAGAGAACCTGAGTTCAGAACCCAGCACCCATGTCAGGTGGCTCACAAATACTTGTAACTCCAGCTCTCAGGGCATATGAGGCCCTGTTCTGACCTCCACAGGCAACCTTCCTATTTGCACAGACACAGACACATAGACATGTATAAGAAATTAAAAAAATATATTTTTTTTGGTCTTTTTGAGACAGGGTCTCCCTGTAGCCCCAGCTGGCCTGAAACTCGCTATGTAGACCAGGCTGGTCTTGAACTCAGAGAGATCTGTCTGTCTCTGTCTCCTGAGTACTGGGACTAAAGGTGTGCACCACCATGCCCAGCTGAGAAATAAAATCTTAAAAATAAAAGTTTTGGGCCAGGATGTGACTCGGTAATGGAATGCTTTCCTGTCATAATGAAGCCCTCAGTTCAATCCCAAGCACCACCAAAAAAGTATCCTGCCAGAAAGAATGGAGGAGGGAGGTTGCCCACACAAGAGAGAGAGTCTTCAGTTCTCTGCTTATTCTAATACTGGTTAATCTTTCTTGAACAACTATGTATGAGCACCTCGTACATGGCAGACCATGTCCAGTAACTGAGGAGACAGGCATGAACGAGACCCTGTCCCTGTTTTCAGACTTGGGGGTGGTGGTTAGAGAGTTAACTATCTGTTAACTGTCAATTGACCATCACTTATATTGAGTAACTGAGTAGCTCAGTGTGTCCCAGAAGCAGGGCTCTACTGTAGTCTGCAGCACTGTGTCCTAGTGAGAGCAGAGGATAGTAGCCAGTTCCCATCTGTATCTGAGATACTTCCGGAAGAGGCATTGATTGTGTGAGACAGGGGATGAGGTTCCTGCAGGTGGAAGGTAGATAGCAGTCATTAAGTTTGACAGGATCCTTTAGGAGTGGGCACACACTAACTGCCACTGGGCTGCAGAAGGGTAACACAGGGTGGGTCTGTCTGCCATACTTTCTGAGGAGCAGGACACTCTCTGCCTCGAGTTAGGTGTGGATAAGTGGCCAGGGTTAAATGTCAGGATTGTAAGAGTGTGTGCCCCTGGTGGGGGAAGATGTACAGGTAATGAAGATGACCGTGGTTTCATCAAACCACACATCCTCGGCAGCCTTGAGAGGGAAAGAGAGATTCTCAGATGAGTCTCAAAAATTCAATCTTGAGCCGGGTGTGGTGGTACACACCTTTAATCCCAGCACTTGGGAGGCAAAGGCAGGTGGATCTCTGTGAGTTCAAGGCCAGCCTGATCTACATAGTGAGTTCAAGGCCACCTGGGGCTACAGGGAGACCCTATCTCAAAAACGCACACACACAAAAGTTCAGTCTCAAAGATTGCCTAGGAATGACCACAGTTTGGACTGGGGAATACAGCTGAGTTGGTAGAGTGTGCGGCTAACATGCTTTAAGCCTGTGTTTGATCCCCAGCCTGAATAAACCAGGCATCAAAGAGGTGGAAGCAGGATGATCAGAATTTCAGGGTCATAGAGAGTTTGAAGCCGGACTGGGATGAGAAAACCCTGTCTGCAAAATGAAATATCACAAGTTGGGATTTATAGCCTCTTCAGTTTGCTTGATACAAAAATCCACCAATTTTCACAATTTCCAACTGTTTGTTACTACTGGTTGACTGCTGAGCAAGTGTCAGGCATAGTAGTAAATGAGGTCAGCAGCGTTGATTGCCTTATTTGTACTGGTTAATGCTTGTTGCTGGGTATTAGGTAGTGAGTGAGCAAAACAGATGTGTGGTTCATTCATTCATTTATTTTGAAAGAAGGTCTCCCTGTAGCCCCAGCTGGCCTGAAGGTTGCTATGTAGACCAGGCTGGCCTTGATTTTATGTGTATGAGTGTTTGCCTGCATGTATGTATGTGTACCTCTGTTGTTCAGTCAGTGCTGGTGAAGGCCAGAAGAGGGTGTCAGATTCCCTGGAATCAGACTTATGGATGGTTGTTAGCTACCATGAGGGTGCTGGGATTTGAACCTGGGTCATCTTCAAGAACAGTGCTCTTATCTGCTGAGCCATCTCTCCAGCCTCAATGCTTGGCTTTTTTTTTTTTAAAGAAATATTTTACTGTTTTTTATTTTGTGTGTATGAGTGTTTTGCCTGCATGTGTGTACACCATGTGTATGTAGTGGCCACAGGGACCAGAAGAGGGCATTGGATCCCTTGGAACTGGAGTTACAGACAGTTGTTAGCTACCATGTGGGTTCTGGGATTTGAACCCAGGTCCTTTGCAAGAGCAGCCAGTGCTCTTAAGTGCTGAGCCATCTCTCCAGCCCCATTACAGCGAGCCCATCCTCATCACGTCACACACAGCAAAGATTGGAAAGGATGATTGACCTTGGATGAAGGAGATATTCTAGAACTAGGAATGAAAATGCAGAATGGACTTTTAAGACAAAGGTGGAGCTAAGCTTGTACTTCCCCAATCAAAGCTGAGGAATCCATTTTGAATAAAATCATGGCTATGGCCCAACTTGAGGACACAGTTCCAACAGAACAATTCCATCAACACAGTTCCAGGAGATAGATGTTTCCAAGGGATATCTGGAAGAATAAGTGTCCTCTGAGTTCAGGCCCCTTAAAAACTAAACTTAGAGTCAGGCATTTTGTTCAGGTAACTGTAATGTTGGTAGAGTAACACCACAACTATCTCTAATGGCTGAGAAGGCATGATGTGGCTTGCAACACCTAGGATAGGCAGGCTGAAAGATGTTGGAGGAATTTGAGGCTGCAGGCTTAGGTAGAAATTCCAAAGAGGACTATTCTGAAACTTTTATGGAAATGAAAAAAAACATATTTCAAAATAGAAATAATACATGTGTAAAAAATGAGGACGCAATACCCAAGACTGATTAGAACTATCAGTTTTCCTATATATTTTTACAAGACATCCAAGAACTTTGCAGTTTTTTCGTTTTTCTTTTCTTATTTTGGGTCTTTCTGAGACAGGGTCTCCCTGTAGCTCCAGATGGCCTGGAACTCACTATGTAGACCAAGCTGGCCTTTAATTTACAGAGATCCACCTGCCTTCCGAGTGCTGGAGTTAAAGGCGTGCACCACCACCAGGCTAATTTTATTATTTTTAATTCTGTGTGTGTGTGTGTGTGTGTGTGTGTGTGTGTGTCTATGTGTGTGTGTCCCCATGTGTATGCAGGTCTCCATGGAGTCCAGAAGTGGATATTAGATGCCCTGGTGCTAGAGTTATAGGAGGTTGTGACTCACCCAACGGAGGTTCTGGGAAATTGAATTTGGGTCTTCTACAAGAGCAGTACAAGCTCTTAACCGTTGAGCCAGCTCTCCAGCCCCAGATATGTGGTTCTTGATTTTCTAGCTAGCAGTGTAGACTTGGGCAGTAAACAGGAAACAAACGACTGGCGAACAGATGAGTGCTTAGTTTTTTTGTGTTTTGGAGAATTTTTGTTTGTTTTTGTTTTTTTACTTTTTTGGTCTTTTTGAGACAGGGTCTCCCTGTAGCCCCAGCTGTCCTAGAACTGTGTAGACCAGGCTGGGCTTGAACTCACAGAGATCTGCCTGCCTCTGCCTCCCGAGTGCTGAGATTAAAGGT